ATTATCTAAGAAGTGAGAGAGGTTTGAAAAAAGAAATGTAATGGGTCAAAGATGGTTATGACTTGTAATGATAAAATAGTCCAAAAATTAATAGATATGTATACATATATTTAAATAAAAACAGTAATACCAGATTAAATGGGCTTCTTAACTTCCAAGCTTACAATTTATGGACCCAATCTAGTTGGTTTGGTTGGGTCAAATTGACCCAATTCATTTTGAGTCTCTTATTTGATGGTCCAAACTAATTTCTAAAGCTCTACTTATTTAAATATTTGGTTTAACTTAAAAAGTCTGTTTAAAAGTCTTACTTTGTAAATACAATATTTTAATTAGATAAAAATTTCATATAAATAAATTCACGAAGTTAAACTTATATGTAAATTGTAGAGCATAAGTCGTTAAATAGATAATAAGTTTATAATTTAAAAATATTATTATAAAAGTTTAATATAATAATAGCTATATTATTATTATACAGGATTTGATATAGGCATATATAGCCTTAATACTATTTTTTTAATGAACAAGTTTGACTTGACGTAAGTTTAACGTTGAATAAGTCATAGATTTCCGACGAATAACTTAATCTAGTTTTAGTGTTATTTATCTTGAGCTAATGTTATGAGTACAGGCCCAAGGCCCAAGGCCCAACATGTTCTCTTCTATTTTTGAGATCGCACAAGCACAATGAGTATTGTGTTGGTGAGGCGTGAGCTGGATATATGATATGACATATGACATATCCCTAAGCATAAAAATGTTTTTATTATTCAAGTATAATTGGCACACAATCGATCCCCATTGAATTAAAGCAAGCAGTAAAAAGGATATTAAGTCATTCCCACGTAATAATAGATACAGTTTGTTAGCTGAGTTGGCTTAGTAGTTTTCTGTTAGCTTCTCTTCTTAGGTATATATATATATAGCTCTTGTATTCCTTTCTACAATATAATTTTACAGATTCTTATTCAATCTTCTTCCTTCCTCTTCTCTGATTGTTTCTAACATGGTATCATGAGCACTTGATTTTTTTTTTTCCTTCCAGGCTTTATCATGGCTTCCGCGAAATCTACACAGTTCATCCCACAAGCCTTTTCTACTCCTATCTCTTCTAAACTCAGTGAGGATAATTTTCTCACTTGGAGGCAACAAGCTGAATCCACCATCCGTGGGTATCGTTTAAAGAACCATATTCTTGGAGCTAGTCATGTTCCATCTCCGCATGTGACTGACGAAGACAAAGAAAAAGGGGTCATCAATCCAGAATATGAAAATTTTGATCAGCAAGATAACCTGCTCAAATCCTGGTTACTAGAAAGTATGAAACCTCAATTCAAGGTCCGGATGGTTGGATACGAGTGGTGCCATCAGATTTGGAGAAACCTTGAAACTTATTTTGCTTCTCAAACCAAGGCTCAACTTTAGTTGACCTTCGGCTACTGGAAAAGGACCAAGGATATCAATCCCCCACCAAGCAAAGGGCCATGCTGACTGCATTGAATGTAGAGTTGTCGGAGGTAACTGGTGTAGATTGCCGAACTCTTGGCAGGCTTTGCATTTCTGCACATATGACTTACAGTCTAATACCCGACTGATGAAGTATATGGGAGTTTGTGTTTTGGCATTCTCTTATACCAGTGTTGAGCTAATAGCATTGTCAGCCACTGCAAGGTATAATAGGAGATCAGCTTGGTAAGTCGGTTTGGATAAGATGGGGGGAGCTGACAGGAATTGCTTGAAGTTGGTGAAAGCTTGTTCACATTGGTCACTCCAGCAGAATTCTTTTGGCTTTTTAAGTAAATGAAAGATAGGCTTGGCCTTTTCTGCCAGCTTCGAAATAAACCGAGATAATGAAGCAAGTCTTCCTGCCAACCTCTGCACCTCTTTGTAATTTTTTGGACTTCTCATATTGATCAACGCCTGACATTTGTCGGGATTTGCTTCAATTCCTCTACAGGTGATCATAAATCCCAAGAATTTGCCTCCATGAACCCCGAAAACACATTTTTCCGGGTTTAATCTCATGTTGTGCTTGCGAATTTGCTTGAAAATTTCCTCCAGATCTCGGACATGATTATCAGGGGATTTTGTCTTGATGACCATGTCGTCAACATACACCTCGAGATTACGTCCGATCTGATTGGCGAAGACCTTGCCCACGAGTCTTTGGTAGGTGGCTCCTGCATTCTTGAGTCCAAAGGGCATGACATGGTAACAATAATTGGCTTGTTCCGTGATAAAGGTAGTGTGCTCCTCATCGGGAGGGTACATCAAAATTTGGTTATACCCTGAATAGGCATCTAGAAAACTGAGCATGGCATACCCTGAAGCTCCATCAACCAATCTGTCAATACTGGGAAGTGGATAAGCATCTTTTGGACAGGCTTTATTCAAATCAGTGTAATCAACGCACATACGCCATTTGCCATTAGATTTTTTAAGAAAAATCAAGATGTTTCAATCTGATGGGGGAAAAGAATTCACATGTCTTACACGTATGTTTAATGAAAATGGCATAATCCATAGAATCAGTTGTCCTCATACTCACCAACAAAATGGGACAGCTGAAAGAAAACATAGACACATCACAGAAGTTGGTCTAACTCTTCTATCCTCAGCTGGTCTCCCTCATTTATTTTGGACAGATGCTTTTAGTACTGCTATTCATGTCATAAATAGACTTCCAACATCTACCCTTAAAATGAAATCTCCGTATGAAATTCTTTTTAAGAAGCTGCCCAATTATCTTTTGCTAAAACCATTTGGTTGTGCTTGCTATCCTCATTTAAGGCCGTTTAACAGTCACAAAATGGATTTTCGATCATCTCAATGCATTTTTCTTGGATATAGTTTCCAACATAAAGGGTATAAATGTCTTACAAACAATGGAAAAATCATTATATCCAGGAATGTGATTTTTGATGAAGTCACATTCCCTGGTACTTTTGTTTTCAGTACTAACCACGTTGCAGGTAAGTCAACAACTTCTTTAGCCCAAGGTGTGCCAACAATACCCATTTTACCATCCCAACTACCTATTTCACCTAACCTCCAACCTGCCCAACTTCCTACTACTTGTAATACTCAATCTGCTGGTCAACTTACACTTATCATTTCCTCAAATTCTTCGTCAACAGATACACACACCTCAATTCCATTACAACTTGAATCTCACACTCAACCCTAATCAGCTTCTCCTGCACAAAATTGTCACCCTATGACCACTAGAGCTAAAACTGGCATTTTTAAGCCTAAAGTACTTTTGGCAGCTTGCGAATTTGCTTGAAAATTTCCTCCAGATCTCGGACATGATTATCAGGGGATTTTGTCTTGATGACCATGTCGTCAACATACACCTCGAGATTACGTCCGATCTGATTGGCGAAGACCTTGCCCACGAGTCTTTGGTAGGTGGCTCCTGCATTCTTGAGTCCAAAGGGCATGACATGGTAACAATAATTGGCTTGTTCCGTGATAAAGGTAGTGTGCTCCTCATCGGGAGGGTACATCAAAATTTGGTTATACCCTGAATAGGCATCTAGAAAACTGAGCATGGCATACCCTGAAGCTCCATCAACCAATCTGTCAATACTGGGAAGTGGATAAGCATCTTTTGGACAGGCTTTATTCAAATCAGTGTAATCAACGCACATACGCCATTTGCCATTAGATTTTTTAACCATTACCACATTGGCTAACCAAGTGGTGTATTTGATTTCTCTGATGAACCCGACATTCAAAAGCTTTTGCGTTTCGGCCTTGACTGCTTCCCTTCTTTCACCGCCAATCTTTCTTTGCTTCTGAGATATAGGTCGTGCCTCTCTGTGGATGGCTAACCGATGACAAATGAAATTGGGATCTATCCCAGGCATTTCTGCACTACTCCATGCAAAAAGATCAGCATTTTCAGTAAGTATTGACATGATTTTACCTTGGACATTAGGTTCAATATGCTTGCCAATCTTGGTGCATTGGTTTGGCTTCTTGCCAATCTGAAACTCAATCAACTCGTCAACGGGATCAGTTCGGTGGTCATGCATATCAATTCGGGGATCTAAGTCGGCCATTTCCCTTGTACCGATGTGAGCAATGACAGGAGAAGTTGACACTTCAGGTTGATGATTTGGGGGTGTAATCTTCAAACTTTCAGCATAGCATTTCCTTGCAATTTGTTGATTAGCTCCATCTATTTTATAATATATTTAATTTTAAAAACAAAGAAAAGAGAGGAGTGAAAACAATATCCAATAAAGACAATAATTCAAAAGAATATACAGAATTATTTATAATCAATATTAAACATATATATATATATATAAATATATATACAGATCATATATTAGATTTTCAAGATACAATAGAATTTGAATTATACTTGTAGTGACTAGTCAGGATAAATGAGCATCATCATAATATCAACTAACAAAAGAATATTTCACTTTTAACCAGCAAGAGGATATTTCACCTTCATTCCTTACTCATTTAAATCCTCAAGGTCAAACCTCCAGCTACAAATAATTCAAACTTTATCTTCTATGGCCATAGAACAATATTTATTTTCATAAATACGTGAAGAAATAACAAGACGAGTCCAAGATATCACAACTATATCACAGTTGATTATAAATATATTTACAATAAATATATTTACGTAAAAATAATATATTAAGAGTATCAATAATATAAATAAAAATGATAATCATTATAGAATAATTAAACAATATAAAATATAAACACCTTAATAATTAATATGGATAAAAATAATCATAAATTAAGCAAATAAATGAGGTTAGGGACACCCCACTAAATAAATACACATAAAAAATAACATAATATAAATAAACATAATAATATATAAAATTTTAAAGAGATAAGGTTCTTCTCCTCATTGAGTTTGAAGGGGGATAAAAAGGATATTAAGTCATTCTCATGTAATAATAGGTACAGTTTGTTAGCTGAGTTGGCTTAGTAGTTTTCTGTTAGCTTCTCTTCTTAGGTATATATATATAGCTCTTGTATTCCTTTCTACAATATAATTTTACAGATCAATTTTACAGATTCTTATTCAATCTTCTTCCTTCCTCTTCTCTGATTGTTTCTAACAAGCAGGAAACATGGAACTCAAAAAAGATGGGACATGATAGGATAGTAGACTAGAGACATAAACACACATATGACATGGGAGGTTATTAAGGAAAAACTAGTTGAAGCCAAAGTCGTTGTGGAGAGCGTTTTTGGCAGTTGGAAGATCCTCGTCGAAGAACATGTCCCAATGGCCATCCCACTTGATGAAGAACTGAGTGTCCTCAAAATACTTAACCCTATGGACATCACCAGGGGGAGTGAACAAATAATCTCCAACCGTCAGATCGTACCTCTCTTCCTTCGTAAGATTCCAAACGCTCTTCTTCCCTTCGATCACCACCAAGTCGTGCCCGAACGTGTGGTGGTGCGCCGGCTCCACGCTCCCGGCCTTGAACCGCACGAACGCTGACGTCGGGCTCTCCCTCAATATCTTCATGGACCCTCCGGGAATGATATCGATAGGGTTCAGTTCGCGGTTCTTCACCAGACAGCACACGGCGCACGTGTCCAACGTTTCGCCTTTTCCGATCTCCGCCATCTCCGAGAGCGAGTTGTCCAGGAACGAGTGGATCTCCTGCGGCCAGGGCTGGCCGTCGTTCGCCGGACACGCTGCCTTGAAGGGAGTGTTCAGCCAGGCGTCCAGGATCTCGACGGCGGCGTCCGCCGAGGTCGACTTGCCGGAGACGGCCAGGACGTTGGAGTTGTTGATGGAGCGGGCGTTCACGGCGTCCGAGGGGGAGAGGCAGGTGGCGGCGTACACGCCGGGGAACTTGTTGGCGAAGATGGAGACGCCGGCGCCGGTGCCGCACGCCACCAGGCCGCGGATTTCATCGGCGTCGGAGGAGGAGGAGGATTGGGAGACTCGGCGACCGACTTCGGCTCCGGCGGAGTAGTAGGAGGTGGTTCCGAGATCTTCGACTTGGATTTGGAGGGATCGGAGGTGGGCGACAAGGGTGTCTTTGAGAGGAGTGCCAAAGTCGTCGGCGGCGGCGATGATTTTGATGGGGCGGGTGGGTTCTGCTGCCATGGCTGATTGGTGTTTCAGTTCACTCACAGCCTCACACTCTCACAAGAATCGGATACAATGAATCTGGCCCCTCTTGGAGTCTAATTAGTATTACTCTATGTACCTGTGCATAACTGTTTTTAACTTATCTAATTACTAATTTACTATCACTCACTATAGAATATCACTGACTACAGAACAACTTTATTCTTTTACATCAAATTTCAACAATTCAGTTTAATTTAAAATTTTTAATAAATAGATAAAATTTACAAACTTTTAAAGAATTTAAAGATTAATTAATATTTTATTTTATTAATTTAAATCAATATATAAAATAATTTTATAATTATCTGTTAATTTGAATTAATGAAATAAAGTATCAAATGATTTTCAAATTTTTTAAAATTCATAGATTTGATCTATGCATAAAGAACTTTAAATTAAACGGTTGAATCGTTAAAATTTGATGTAGAACATGAGTTATTTATCAGAATAAGTCTATGTAGACTTACTCTTTGAGTAAAAAGATTTCTCCTATATATAGAGAGAGAGAAAGAAAAAGAGAGAGAGAAGAATTATAATAATATTGATGTAACTTTTATTAAGTATTACATAATTCAATAATTTTATATTAAATATGAATTTTATAAATTCAACAGTTAGATTGAAAGCTCGTATCACTTTATATTATATTAAATTTTGTTAAAATTGAATAACGACTTGAAGGTAATTAAAGTGTTTATATTTTAGTATATTTTGAAATGTATATATTACATAAATTTTGTTTTATAAGAATGAAGTATCAAATCATCTTGGATTAATATAAAATTATATATATATGATCTAAGAGTAAAATTTTTTTAATCTAACGGTTGAATTTACAAAATTCACATTTAATATAAGATTATTGAACGATGTAATACTTTATATATATAAGTGAAAGATTCGTTTATTTGAAAAGTAAAACTATTTAAATTTATTTTATTTAATAATTCATGTTTTATATTAAATTTTAACGATTTAATCGTTATATTTAAAGTTTTTAATATATAAATTAAATATACAAATTTTAAAAAAATTAAAAATTATTTAATATTTTAAATTGACGGATAATATAAAAATATGTTTAAATATGAATGTTTTGTATAAAAATTATGTAAATAAACTTTTATGTCCAAATTAGACCTTCAAAATAGTTTAGATCAAACCTTAAGAAAAAGTATGTAAGAAATACACAAACAAGACTTATACTTAAATAATTTTGTTGTAAGTAGAACTCGAGTCAGTACCAAAGTCTAGTATATTTCCAACCGAACTAGAATACAATGAACATGATCCCTCCACTTGTCTAATTAATGAAGATTTTTTTAGCTGTCAAATATTTAACTTTTTAGAAAATTATTTTTTTTAAAAATGTTTAATTAGTTTTGTTCTTACCGGAGATCGGTCGTGAGGGACGATCTGCCCTTTTTTGCTGGGTACGTCGGCTGTTCCAAAGTAGGGGTAATACTTGCAAAAGAGACTCCGATTCTAAAGTTAGTTTTTATGAGTGTATGGGTCTCGTATATATAATACATGTACCTTAGTAAATAATTAGGATTTATCTGGGCCTTGAACCTGAGATTGATTGTGATCCATTCAAATAATAGGCCTTTGTTTTGGCCGATGTCTCGTAGTGCCGAGCTCAAAGCTTACAAGTTCCTTTAATGCGAATTTTTTTAGCAACTATATATTCCGTAAAAAAAATCATGTATTATGTGAAAAAAAACATTTTTTATTAGAAATGTCAATTTATGATGATGAATTGAAAAAAAAACAGATAGAATGAGCGGTAGACATGTCATAGTAATTAGGAAGTGGAGAAAGTTCCTCCTCCGAAGCTATCAGAAAGACGTTGTCCAATATAGCAGCTGGCTTAGCGTGTCTCATATCATTGAGACTCTGCCTGAGATTGTACGGTATAAAAGGATGGAAGTCTGTTTGGCCTCACAATTCTTAGTCATCCATCTCTTTTAACCATTTTCTAAAATCAGCATCGGCAACGCTCAATAATTTAGACTTTGCTGACCCATCATCCAAAGTTGCTATTCTTTGTTCACACCAAGTTATGCGTATGCACACGATGGATGACACGAAGACCCTCTTATCCTCCTTGTGCCCAACAACACAATCGGTCAATAGTGCGGATATTTTTGTCACGGATATGGATTTGATTTAAAATACATTAGTTTCCTGATATAGTTTCCCCGCATAATTAAGTGTATTGTAATTGATAATTTACAAAATAATCATTTCCTTAATTCATTCGTTCAAGAAAAGAACGAAAATTATTTGAATTCAAGGAATCTAGTTATTTGTATTTCTATCTAATTTTATGCATGGATACCAAATCTATTTATACACCATCTCATTTACTTTGGTAAAAAGAGATGCAACTAATAACTTTACTTCTTAATTTTTAGTAAATATTTACATCTCATGATTCTCACTAAAAAAAATCTTATTTCGTAACTTTTCATGAATAGACACGTGATTTTATGAAATAATATAATCTTTAATTTAAAATATCTTATAAATAGTCTTTAAAATTAGGGAAAATATCAAATAAATTCTTGAAGTTGAAATTCAACAATCGCATTAGTTCACGTCAAAATGTGAATGAATATAAGGTGCCAAAATATAAAAATTCTAGCAATTGATTTTATATGCTTTGAAACAGGATTAATTGATTTAAAAGCTTTGATTGAAGAATAATTTTATATCTTCATGAGAAAGCAATTAAGGCTACTTTAATATTTTGATATGGTAGGAGGAAAAATAACAGGTCATGTTGCATAGATTCTCCACCATGTCCATGCTTATCTTTTATCAGAAAGAAAGGGTTACCTTTCTATCTGTGCTCTGCAACGTATGATGACTAAGAGGGAAGGGGTCTCTGCCACTGCAATATTCCTTGGTATTAAAGTATATGGAGAAGGGTCTTGTGGTCTTTGTGTTGGAGCCATTTGAGTCATAATTCAGGAGTATGAGTATGACTTTGAATTAAGTGTCTCATAAGTCAGAAGCCAACCCCTTACAAGGGGTAACCTAACCTGAGCAGGGGCCACCCTTCACGGGATGAACAATCAACCATAATCATTACAAATAATATTATTCATAATTATAGTAACGACGGTCATACTCATCCACCTAAAATCACAATCATGAAACAACACACTTTCGTATGGTTATCGCCTATCGGAATAATCTAGTGAGTAGAGGACATATTTCAGGTTTTGCAGTGTCACAAAAAACTTCTGAATTTTCAATTTCTTACAATGCATCATCCTTCCTCTCATCTGAAATAAGGGTATTTCATATATCTGCTGTTATGAATGCTAGGCACCGCATTGTCCCAATTGGTAGTTTGGTACAAATAATAAAAAGATTGATGACTAAAAAGGTTATTTTTAATTATGTCCATCATATATGTTTCAAAAAATTACTAGGATTAGTCTAATGGTTGGGTAAGCAAGAGTTAAGATAGTTAAAAATATGAAGACCTAGGTTTGACTATCTTTATAATCTTTCATATCTTAAAAAAAAAGAATAAATATATATATATATATATATATA